CATGTTAAGCTGGTAAAGGACATGTATGAGGACAGCAGGACATGTTAGACTGGTACAGGACATGTTTGAGGACAGCAGGACATGTTAAGCTGGTACAGGACATGTATGAGGACAGCAGGACATGTTAGACTGGTACAGGGCATGTTTGAGGACAGCAGGACATGTTAGACTCATTTTTTCCATATCACCATGTCCAGAGGAGGATGTTTCCTTTGATGTACGAGCTTGGTGTATCTTTGTACTAAAAAACTCTTTCATCCTCGCTGAAACAGGATTCTATGACCATGAGAGACAGACAGCTAAATGCCATTGAGCTTCTGCTAATTGGTGATCTAAACTTGGACTGGTTGACTTCTACATCCGATAAACTTAAATATGTCAAACCTTAAATCTAACTCAACTAATTCAAACATCAACACGCCAAAATAGTAAAAACCCAGCAAAATCGACTTTACTGAATTAATTCTAACAAACACGCCTCATACTGTAAGTTCACTAACACAGGTGTGTTTGCTAATGATCTCAGTGACCACTGCACCACAGCAGCCATAAGAAACTGCAAATTACCAAAAGTCAAACCTACCATAATTTTCAAAAGGGATTTAAAACATTTTTGTGAGCAGGCCTGTCTTCATGAAGTAGACACTTTTGATTGGAGTAGAACTTCCTTGATAGATGACGTAGAACTCGCACTGGAGTACTTTTATGAGGGATTTCAAAACATAATCAACACACATCTCTGTATCATAAATACAGAATAAAGGGTCATGAAAACCCTTGGTTTTCTCCTGAGATAAGTAATCTGCTCAAAGAAGGAGATGCTGCCTGGTCCAAGGCCAGAAAATCAAAAGCTGAACGAGACTGGCTTAGCTTCCAGCAGCTTAGAAACAAATGCACAACCCTTATTAGAAGTGCTAAGTCAAATTATTACCTGACTCAGTCCACCAAAAACCTTAACGACTCTAAAAAGTTCTGGCAAACAATAAAATCAAATTCTGGTCAGATAACAACAACCGATTTTCCCAGCTCCATAATGACCAGCTRAGGTATTCTGTCAGACAAATCATCAATTCTTAACTGTTTTAATGAACACTTCATATCCACTGGCTCCCTGTTTGAATCTATGCACCCTGAAATGTCACCTGTTGAACAGGCTGGTGTAAACCCACACCCAACTCCACATGTGCTAAATAAATTGGTCACAAACCGTTTTAACTTCGTACCAGTGTCAACCGCAGAGGTTCTAAATGCTCTAAAGACAGTCGACACGTGCAAAGCAGCAGGGCCTGACAGTATTGAACCACTTTTCCTAAAACTAGCTGCTGATTTAATTCCTGAACCACTTTGATATATTTTCAATCTTAGTCTCAACACAAATGCAAATCAGGTTTTGTTCTCCCCCTGCTAAAAGGGGGTGAACCAACTAATGTCAACAACTACAGACCAATCTCAAAACTTTGAATCTTAGACAAACTGTTTGAAAGACTTGTCTGTGACCAGTTAACTGATTTCCTCGAGTCAAATAACATTCTATCACCATTTCAGTCAGGC